TTCGAGACACTTATGGAGAAGCTCCTGGCGATTGACTCACCCGAGACGTACGACGCAATTGAGATAGGTGTTATGTTGACTCAGGCAACATAGCTCAATGCTACAAGTTATTATAGTCAACATAACATCATCTTATGTTGCAAATTATTTTACAAAACGAAACGCGTGCCAAAGACCGAACAAAAGCTTTTCCGGTGCGCGCGGAGAGCGAGGATGAGTCTGTGTCACCTACGCAAGCAGTAGACGAGTGCAAACATCGACTCGAAGAATACCCGGACACCGTGGACAACGAGCAGGGCCACAAGCGCCGACATCGATCCTGCAAAGTGTGCGCGATCTACAAGTCCCAACCGCAGAAGTACACAGTGATTCTGTCCTGAATGTTCAACTGGAAACCGACGGTACGTACCCGTGCGGGTCGATATCGCTAGTGCATGTACTAGTAATAGTGATATTCCAAAGAAATACCTGTGCATTGTAGCTCGGTACGATCGGTCTAAGAAGTGTTTTAGCTTTTTACACAATGATTGGAGCAATGACAATAACATCCTTAAGAATCTGGCGCACAAAATGCGCGACCGCCCCCCCCCCCACCCCCGCCTCACATCCAGGCAAAACGCGTATCGCCGATCTCCTTCTGATGGACGCGGCGGAGAAGAATACGGTGTCGTGCAAATTGCGCAAGTGTAGACAGAAGGCTCTTTTGAAGCCAGATGAATGGAGAAATTATTTGACGCGTCATATTCGCTGCCCCATTATTGCTCAAAACCGTTGAAATTTACGTTGCTGCACGTGTGCAACAAGTAAAATCGAACCAGTTAGATATAAAGTGCAGTGCCTACGTTGACCTTCTCATCATGAACTATTGGTAGGCCCTCGTTTCCGCAAACATAAGACAAGTTATGTTGGAGCTGTTATTTTTCTGCCTAGCAGTAGTAATTTCGAGTTTCTTGAACTATCCACTGAGCATGGCTGTGCAAAAACTTCTCTTATTCCAATTTCTTATATATTCTTATGTTCCACCTCCAACATAAAAGTAAAAAGACCCCCGTTTCGGAAACAAGGGGGTTAATGGTATTTATTACCTGAGTGAGCGTTAGCTCACGTGTTCCCGGCCTCAGAGGGAACGGTTTTTCTACTTAGAAGACTAGATGTATTAAGACTAATGTAAATATTTATATATAAGCTTAGCTGGGGTTCTAATACTACTAGAGGTCACCTATCCTAAAGTGGAGCTATGTAGCTATGCACGGATTAGCCTCGAGAGATCCTGGTTTCGCGTACCAAGTATTCAGCCACAAGAGTGACGGGTCACTCTTTATGTAACCTGGGGTACATCGGATTGTTCCCCGTTACATCCTCCCCCACTTAACCGAGAATCACCTGATTCTACAATCAGCTATGAGAAAATTAAAATCCCCAAATGCGAATTCTCACACTGAGCAGCCACGAGACTGTCGCACATCCACAGTGACGTGTGCTCTCAAGGTGCTAGAATGCACTTTTATTATTAAAATATGTAGCCAATAGAAAAGATTCAAATATCTAACTTCTTACGATAGCTTTATAAGTGACAAACATTTTGCAAAGAAGTGTGAATGGTGAGGAGGATTGCACATGCTTTAAAAGTCCTCCTCACTTTGACGTCGACGGCCTATTAACTTAGTACCTAACATCTCAGATACGTACCGAGACTGATGCCTATGGCGAGGAGGGTTATAAGAGACAGAAACCATTGGAAAATCGAAAAAGAAAAATTGGTTGGGTCACAAAATTTGGAAATTAGGGAATAGGTACGGGCAATGGGACGTCACAAATTTTGGGTGTCGCAAAACTTAGGAGCCACTAATTTTGGATCAGCGGATGTGTGAAACGTTGCAAAACGGAAAATCACATGATATCTCCGAAAGGTCGCAGCTTGATTTAGGATAAAGCAAACCATAAGTGATCAAACAGGATAGGAAAGAGTGTGTTCACTGTTAAGAAACCTCAAAATCCACAGGTAGCCCAAAAATACGAAAGTTTTTTCTGCTGGATTAGTCGCAACTGAATTTAGGATAAGGCGAGCCAAATGCGACCACAAAAAGGATAAGGGGTGTGTAATTGAAGTTTTAGTGGGAGCGTTAGTTAATTGATCGAATATGTAGACAGTAGAAAAGGCTCAAACATCTTGCTTCTTAAGTAAATCTAATAAGTGACAAACACTTTGCTGAGGAGTGTTAATGACGAGGTGGAAACGAGGTTTGCACCCGCTTTAAAAGTCCCATCACTTTGAACTGACGGCCTATTAGCTTAGTGCTTAACACAAAGCACACTGGAATTTGCATTTCCATACTCACAACTGTGTTGGTCGCAAACTTGACACTCAGAACTGCCTTATCTCCTGCGATAGCGCGTGCACAGTGCTTTGGCACAGGTGCAATAACATCCGAACGTGTGACATTCACCCACAGCTCGCACCGGAGGTGATGCCAGTCCTCGCGCCCGGTCCGGGAAACACCAGCTTATCAACGAAGGGAGCTGTAAGCTCACCTCGGGGCATGCTTTCGACCCGTCAAGGGCCCATCCTATGCGTACGGGCTTGAAGACGTTGTGTACATGCCGAATGTCATGGTCAACCAGATTATTATGGGCTACTTGCAGTCCACTGGGAGCTGTAAGTTGACGTATGCGTTTGACCTTGAATGATGAAGCCTGACACAAGTCAAAAGTCTGAGGTGCGTGACATCTCCCGGCTACGAAGTAAAAAAGGTAACCAGTGTGATGGTCATGTCTCGCTTTGCAGTGTTGATGGGAGATCTACAATACGATGTTAAGACGGCATTCATGTATGGAGATCCCGAGGAGCTGATTTTTATGGAGCAACCACCGGGGTTTCAAGCTGATGGTCCAAGTGTAGTGTGTGAGATCTTGAAGAGCCTCTATGGATTGATGCAGGCACTCAACATTTGGAACTGATCTTTACATGCTAAGTTGGTCACGATGGACTTTGAGCGTACAGACTTCGACTATGGGCTGTACGTATTCAATAGGAATGGCGAAGTCAAACTGCTGCTGACTATCTACGTGAATGACCTTCTGCTAATGATCTTGAAACCTGTGCGCCAAGATTGCAGCTGCAGTGCAAAAAACTTTCGAGTTGGCGACTATGGGTACTGTGAAGTACCTACTTGGTGTCGAGATTCTGATCGACAGAACAAGTCGACAGATTGTGTACTGCCAGAAGCAGTACGTAGATGCGCTTTCACACGACGGACCGTAGCAGATGTGCAGCACCTGAGGCTACGACACATTCGACGGCTGTGGTCCTTGCGACTTGCCGAACCTGAGCTCATAGGAGCACTACAGTATCTCGTGAGCGCTTCGAGGCCTGACATTGCTCACGCCACCAGACATCTTGGTATGTTCCTAGCACGACGACCATACACACTACGCGCAAGCCAAACGGGTAACACGGTATGTAAAGACTACATGTAACTATGGCTTAGCGATGAGACATGTCAGAAGGAACTACTGCGAACGTGCGCTGCTACTCAGACGCCGATTATGCGAATGGTCCGGCGGACAGACGGAGCATGAGCGGCTATGCGAGCACGCTTGACAGCAACGAAATATTTTATGCGTCGAGAAAGCAAGAAACCAACGCGCTGGGCACGCGTGAGACAGGATACATAGTTATGACGGTACTCGCCAAGGACGTGTTGTGACTGGCTGGACGCTATGAGGAGCTGGCATGGAAGCATCCTAAGCATTGCTACTGGGTGACAATTAGGAAGCGATCTCGTTGTCGACCAAGTCAGGCAATTACGTTAAGATCAAGAACGTTGACAACAGGTATCACATGTGCGGCGTAACGTTGACCTCAAGCTGCTCACGAAGCAGCTCATTGGGACCGAGAACGTAGATGCGGACATCATCATGACTAAGATACCTGCGGTGGTTAAGCTCTCTCGCTTTTGCGAAGCGATGAGGATGTTGCCAGGAGTTTATTCGAGCAATGAAGCGACTACTATGGAGCCTGCGGCTTCTACTGCAGAGAATGCGTCCCCCACAGCGAATGCTACTACTGCAGCCAGAACAGACGAAAACGACCACAGTACACCGCACCACACGTTTCTATTCTATACATAAAACGAAAAAGTCATATTTCACCTAAGTCAGTGTCGTCGTGAGCAGCACGACGGCGCGGTCATTCTAGACCAGCGGTCACCAATCGCATATATGTCCGCACAGCACACACCAGACAAGCACGCAGCCGCAGGCTGTACCTGGTCACTGACGCCTGACCAGTGGTCAGGCGTAGAAAAGATTTCAGGATGAGATACCAGGGTCAGGTACTGGGCGCTGGTAGACCACTTCATGCGTACCGCTGGGGTTGCATTTCCCACTCCCACTTGATGTCGGCAAACTAGTACCTTCGCTGACGCGATCACCCACAATACGTCAACAGGTTGAAGTCGCAGTCCAGCAGCTACAGAAAAACAGTACACTGCACAGCTTTCACCGTCCGCCGTAGCCACCATAGTGGTAGTCGTTGTTCTTCGGGAGCGTACATAGTGTCGTGGTGCAGCCACGCGAGACATGTACAACCTTCTCGGCTTTTCAGCACACATGAATACACTATCATTGTCGTTCTAGTCCTCACACCCGTCTTCGTTCGTTGAATGATCAATGTCACTTGTGGCGCGGCATGTTCTCTCTAGCCCCACACCAGTACTGCTGTATGCCGTGAACATTTCGCGGCCCTTACTGTGTTGACGTCCCTTTATTGATTGCTACAAGTGTTGCTTAAGCCTTGGCACCTACTTTATGAAGCGACACTTGGAGACCACGCGTCACCTAAAAATACACTTTACAAAGTGGTACACGAAAACTAATTGCTGCTCTACAGAGCAAGCCTAATTATAAATGAATTGGAGCAGATAAAGCAGGGTATACAAAATTTAGCGCAACGCTTATTCAGGGTGACTTTTGCAATCAACAAAATATTAGTAAGCAACATGCCGGGTACAGTACATGTACGTGTCTGGTACGTAAGCAACCTGTCTGGTACGTAAGCAGCCTGTCCTGGAGCACGTTATCCTCTAGGTCCAGATTTGCTTGCACTCGCTTGAACATCGGACAAACACCTTCGCCTTGGCCTGCGCTTGGCGAAATACGGACTCGGTTTGTCGAGCTACCTGCACTATGCATTGCACTAATACATGTCCACACAAACTTTCGGCCGTTGATTAGCTGATGCTTGCTGCGTCCCGTCAGCAGCCTGCTGAGAAACTGTGTGCAGGCAAACATGGCCTGCACGGTGAGTATACTGCCCTCTCTGGGCACCTTTTTAACTCTTTGCTGTATGCAATGGTCATTTTTCACTAGTCTGTTCATTCTCCAACTTGCTTCTTCCACCTCAACTCCCATCTCGTCAGCGTCTTCTCCGCCATGAAGCTTTTCCACCCGCTCATCGCGACATTCGCTCTGCTGTCATCCAGTACTCTGGCCAAAACACCCGAGGAAACAAAGTCTATCGACGACCTCTTACGCTGAGGCTGTCGCCGAAGGTGGTAAGCTCGTCCTGTACCACGGTGGTGACACCCCGACCCAGCAGGAATACCTGCACGAAGTTTTTCAGCAACGTTTTTCCGAAATCAACTTCACTCTCATCGTCGACTATAGCAAATACCACGACGTGCATATCGACGATCAGCTCGAGACCGACACTCTTGTACCTGACGTCGTAGCGCTGCAAACGCTGCAGGATTTCACTCGCTGGGCAGATGAAGGGAAACTCCTCCGGTACAAACCGAAGGGATTCTCCAGCATTCATCCGTCACTGAGGGACAATGATGGCGCCTGGATGGCGTACACCATCTACTCGTTCTACACTAGCTACAACTCAAGCAGTCTTGATGGACTTGCCGCGCCAGCATCGATGGAAAGCCTGACGGACCCGCAATAGGTCGAAAAAATTGCCTCTTCGTACCCCAACGACGATGATGCGGTGCTGTACCTGTACACGCGCTACGTTGAGCTGTACGGATGGGACTGGGTGGCCAAGTTGGCTAACCAGAGCGTCGCTTTCCACCGTGGCTCGAACGTTGCTGCCGAATTGGTGGCTGCTGGGGAGAAGGCCGTCGGTATGGGTACCGATATCGGTGGCAATAATCCGGTTGGCAACAAACAACACGGAGTACATTGCGTGGGGTCAACGTGCCGCTATCTTGGCCAAGGCCAGACATCCTGCTGCAGCCAAGCTGTTCATGAACTGGGCTCTGTCGGAGGAGGTGCAGTCCAACACAGTGGCGCCGAGTGTGCGCACGGATATCAACACGGACAAGCCTTGGGACGTTCCCGAGGCTAACATGGCTGGATTCCCGCTGTTCATGGAGGACCGTGAAACGGTGGAGGAGTGGAAACAAACATTCACTCTGTACATTGGTGAAGGCAGGGCGTCGGTTTGTATCCGGGCCTGTAAGATTTTGAGTAGTTTTGTCGATTGTCAAGCAGTTCATTCTTTTAATTGAAAAATTGACCCTGCAACTTGAAATTTCTCTTGAGGTGTCTGCAAAACTTCACTACATTTTACTCCTTCTTGCCGTAGAACAGACCCCACTTCTGGTCGCCCTCCCCGCAACGAACGATCTTGGCCTCCCAACCATCGACGATGTACTTAAAGTCCGACTCGCTCGTCTCCGCAACAAACTGCTCCTTTTGTGCTAGTGTGCGAGTCAGCTCATCTTTCAAGACCCCCACGAACTGCTCCGTACGGTCTTCAGCCTGGACAGATGTGAACCCCACAGACTCCAGCACTCTACCGTACTGAGACGGGGACAACAAATAATATCCACGACCTGCAACATACGCTTTGAAGCGGTCCGAAGGCTCCTGCTCGCCTTGGCAGTAGTCCGAGATGAGGACACGACCTCCAGGCTTCAGCCAACGGAAGAACTTGGCAAACAATGCTTCCTTGTCCTCAATGTGCAGAATGGTGTCACGAGAGTACACGACGTCGAAGGAAGCGTCGGCAAACTCCTTCTTAGTGGCGTCGCAGATCTCAAATTCCACGTCGACACTTGGGTCCTTCATGGACGTTTCAAGAGCGCGGTGAACCATATTGGTGGAGAGATCGATACCCACAACGGAGACGCCGAACTGGCGGGCCATGTAGAAGTCACCTCCGCCGATCCCACAGCCCACATCTAGCACCCTCTCACCCGGTTGGAGGTTGAGTTTCTCAACGAACTCAGTGGTAGTAGTCTGTCCACCAGTGCTCACATATCCCTCTCCAAAGATCTTCTCGTAACGAGTGATACTCTGGTTGGAGTATTGTTGCTCATCGAGGAACTTCTGGAAAGTGGCAATGGCTTCGTTACTGTCGTTGGACCCCTGTTTGATGGCCTTTGTGTAGCCGAAGAAAACTTGTCCGTTGTTCTTCTTGATGTTGCGGTACACAGCGATGCTGCCAGACGACTCGAGGTTGAAGTAACCCAGGTCTCCATTCTCCCCCTTTGACACAACAGAGCCAAAGGCCCCCACGTAGAACGAAGGATGACGGTAGTACGTCGGGTTCGTGTTGCGTTTCACGTCTCCTGACTGTCTGAAGCAAGACTCGCGGAAGAAGAGTTTGCCACCGGGACGCAGCCACTTGACGGCTTTCTTGGCGAAGTTTTTCACCTCTTCGTCCCCCAGATACATGAATATCCAGTTCGAAAAGATAACGTCGAAGGAGTTGGGCTCAGCCTCAAGGTTGACGACGTCCTGGCAGAGGAACGTGACGTTGTCCAGATGGCCGTTCGTGGCGACGTTGGCCTTATGGAAGTCTTCGATGAACTCCACGGCCGTGAGGCTCTTGGCGCTCTTGCCGATGATGAACGTGAAGCGCCCAATACCAGCGGCCAGTTCCAGCACGTCCTTGTTCTCCATGGAGGGGGCGCGCTCCAGGATCTCGGGCATCTCGAGTTGGTGAAGGACCTTGGCGTTCGAGTCGAGCATCATGGTCTCGATGTCCGTGTTGGAGCTGTGCTCCGTCCAGTAGGACTTCATCTCCTGGCGAGTGGTCTCGATGCTCTCGATTGTCATATTTCTTGGCGCTTTTTGTCTCAGAGCTCTTGGTTGCTAAGAGGCAAATTGGGGAATGAGGAAAAATGCAAGAGGGTCATTCTGATTGCCCATCACACTGGCGTTTGCGTGTTTAAGGGTTGTCAGTTGGGGAAGTTCAATCACATTCACTTCACCCCCTTTTACAAATATCAGGATATTAAGTGTTTCTACCCTTACTTCCCGAATACTAACCCTCCTAATTTAACAACTGCGTGTTTGCTTCCCGCGATTTTAGTCAAGCAGCTCCGCTGCTGTGTTGAGGCACGCTGCGAAGATCCGAGATTCGCTTGCAGAGGCTGGACATGCAAGCGTCTAGGCTCACGTGTGTTGGATAATCGGGATACACCCCTTGTGTTTCGTGGAAATCGACAGCGAGAGCGCAGCGTCATTATCTACATTGACGCCTGAAGTCCCTTTCTTCACGCTTTACATGCGTGGCCTCGCTGGATTGGCTCAAAGAGTTTGTCAGCTTGCTTGCTGCAATGCGTGACGTCATGAGCCCTTGCTACTTGTGTCAACGCAGCGTGTAGTTTACCTTATGAATGATTTCGCGGTGCTGTCCTGGGTCTTGGGCTCGCAGTGCGAACTTCGCACCATTCCACTGCACAGAGCCACAATAATAAGTGTTGGTTCAATACTGTTGGGACTACATGTAATGACGAACAACTTGTTTATTTTCTAAGCTAGCGGTAGCCACTGTATCGTCTTGGCAAACTTTCTACTCCTTCTTGCCGTAGAAGAGACCCCACTTCTGGTCGCCCTCCCCGCAACGAACGATCTTGGCCTCCCAACCATCGACGATGTACTTAAAGTCCGACTCGCTCGTCTCCGCAACAAACTGATCCTTTTGTGCCAGTGTGCGAGTCAGCTCATCTTTCAAGACCCCCACAAACTGCTCCGTACGGTCTTCAGCCTGGACAGATGTGAACCCCACAGACTCCAGCACTCTACCGTACTGAGACGGGGACAACAAATAATATCCACGACCTGCAACATACGCTTTGAAGCGGTCCGAAGGCTCCTGCTCGCCTTGGCAGTAGTCCGAGATGAGGACACGACCTCCAGGCTTCAGCCAACGGAAGAACTTGGCAAACAATGCTTCCTTGTCCTCAATGTGCAGAATGGTGTCACGAGAGTACACGACGTCGAAGGAAGCGTCGGCAAACTCCTTCTTAGTGGCGTCGCAGATCTCAAATTCCACGTCGACACTTGGGTCCTTCATGGACGTTTCAAGAGCGCGGTGAACCATATTGGTGGAGAGATCGATACCCACAACGGAGACGCCGAACTGGCGGGCCATGTAGAAGTCACCTCCGCCGATCCCACAGCCCACATCTAGCACCCTCTCACCCGGTTGGAGGTTGAGTTTCTCAACGAACTCAGTGGTAGTAGTCTGTCCACCAGTGCTCACATATCCCTCTCCAAAGATCTTCTCGTAACGAGTGATACTCTGGTTGGAGTATTGTTGCTCATCGAGGAACTTCTGGAAAGTGGCCACATCCTCCTCGGAAGATCCTTCTTTGATGGCTTTTGTGTAGCTGAAATATACCTGTCCGTTGTTCTTTTTGATCTTGCGGTAGACGGCGACACTACCCGACGACTCAAGGTTAAAGTACCCAAGATCCCGATTCTCTTCCTTTGACACCACAGAGCCAAAGGCGCCAATGTAGAATCCCGGATGACGGTAGTGGGTGGGATTTGGACTTCGCTCGAAGTCGCCGGATTGCTTGAAACACGACTCGCGGAAGAATAATTTGCCACCGGGACGTAGCCACTTGACTGCTTTCTTTGCGAACGCCTTGACCTCCTCATCCTCCATGTACATTAAAATCCAGTTGGAGAAGATCACATCGAAAGAGTTCGGCTCTGCCTCGAGATTGACGACGTCTTTGCACAAGAACTTGATGTTCCCCAGGTGGCCGTTGTTGTCCGCATTCACTTTGATGAAATCCTCGATAAACTCCACTGCCGTGACCGACTTGGCCTTTGTGGCAATGACGGACGTGTACCGACCGATACCAGCGGCAAGCTCCAGCACATCCTTGTTTTCCAAGCAAGGGGCTTTGTTTAGGATCTCGGGGAGCTCCAGCTCGGTCAGCGTCTTGGCGTGGGAGTCGAGCATCATGGTTTCCACTGTGGCGCTCGAGCTGTGGCCTTCCCAGTACGCCTTCATCAGCTCGCGTGCCACAGGCATGTTTTTGGCGTTTGACTTCTCCGTTGCGGTTGCTTGAGCTCTTGGGGTGAGATTTGAGAATGAGCTGCCCAACCCTTCTGCGGTTGCAACAGCTACGTAAGCATGCAACTAGCGACAGCGGCGGGTGCCACTTGAATCTGGAAGCGACGCATCTGGCTCCGTACCTTGAACACGTCTGATAACAAGGCGAAAGGATTAGTGTATACAAGCAATGTATACACAATCGCATCCCCGATCCTTGCCACAGCAGAGCAGCGTCGACAAAACAGCAAACGCAAGTCCTGCATGCAACATGCTCATGTTCTTGTTGCTGGACTCGTACAATACGCACACATGTCCTTGTTGCATGCCGGTGTTTTGTTGACGCAAGGCATGGATTGTCGCATCCCTTCGTCTACTATTTTTCGTCTACAGAAATTAACGACCAGCACTCTGATTTATTTTACTAAATCTAAGTCTATCTGCCCATCTCCGCAGAGATTCTCTGCCAGAGAAACTCTTGAGCCCGGTACATGTACGTGTAGTTCGAGCGCACTACAGACAACGACGGTGAAATCCGCCATACCATACAAATCCGCCACGAACACTTGAAGTTCAAAAATAAAAGATTTGAACAAGTTTTTATTTTAGCCAATGATAGAGTAAATTGAATCGACTGGTTCCTACGGGTAGCATATCACATATAGTTAGAATTTCTATCACTCTGGAAAGGGCGCCTCAGCGCTCCTATACAATTCTAACCAAGCGCGAAGCAATCGCGACTGCTGAGTCGTTAGGAAGCTGCCAAGCCGCATCAAAGAGACTAAATATCCCTCGCACGACTCTTCGCGACTGGCTAGACGATAAAGAGAACATCCAAGACTTTGCGGGTGCCCAAACCAGCAAAACCTTGAAGGGCCAGAGTGCAGCGCCGTTAATACACTTCTCTCACGATTTGGTAACCTTTATGATGGATGTGCGACGAGAAGAATGGGTAAACCGCCTTCTTATTAATTTACTTTTTACATTGTGACCTAAAACCGCTTGTTGCTTAGTATTTGTACAGATTTACTGATTCAATATTTCAAAGAGCAGCAAACGCGATGGCTTCAAACGTATCTTGCTGGTAAGGAAAGCGGTGAGAAGGGTCTAAGTGCGTTTATAAGACTATGTCAGCGGTTTGCAATATCTTTTGATTTTGCTGATTTTATATAATTGCTTTATTAAATAGTGTGATAATCGTGGAGCTACTAACACATCCGGTTGGTCATGTATACTCAGTGCAGGAGAGCAGTTTTATGGATGCCAAAGTGTGGGCGATATATGTACGAGAGCTGCTCAAGTTCGAGATCGAGGCACTATCAGTGCTTATACTCGATAACTTCGACGCACATGTTTTAAAAGAAGGACTTGATGTTGTTGTCGAGACAACGTCGGCCCTGGTTTGCCAGCTACCGCCCAACAGTACAGCGGCCTGCCAGCCACTAGACGTTGAGGTTTTCAACTTTGCTTTTTGCTAATTAATTCGTTTTATCTACCAATAAAAATGTGCGACGGATTTTCCTGTCGCAAAAACAAAAAAAGAACTACTATGGAGGATGGCTTTCAGAGGGTGGCGGATTTCACCGTCGTTGTCTGTATGAGCTTGTAGCTTACTCGAATTCGAGCGAGTATACAGCCGAGGCTCGACGTCCTCAGAACGCATAATACAGCTGCAACCGGCTAACACATACTAGTAAGTATTATTAGTATCAATTTTATTTAATCGATCAAGATATGTTCAAACGATCACTTAATACAGATCTTACTCGAACGAGCCATACGGGTGCTCACCCGTCTGCAGCGTGAACGTTGCGCACAGCGGGTTAGCCACCGCCGTCTTGTTGTACACGTCGCAGTCCGTCTCGGGCTTAATGGCAAGCACGTAGTCCGCGTCTTCCGCCACCTTCTTCAAGCCGCTGCCGATCTGCGGGTAGTACACGCTCCAGTCGTCCGCCGACAGTGTAAACTTAACCGTCGTCGACTCGCCAGCCTTCAGATCCACCTTGGTGAATTTCTTGAGCTGCTTCACCTCAGGCACTGAGATAGTACGGAACGGCTGAGTCAGGAACAGCATCACTGTCTCCTTGCCGGCCACGGTGCCGGCGCTCGTCACTACCACTGACACGTCCACCGATTCGGTAATAGACGTCACGTTCGAGCGGCTCAGCGTCATGTCCGAGTAGGTGAAATCTGTGTAACTGAGACCGTGACCGAACTCCCACTGCATCTCGCAATAGCCGGTCGCGCACTGCGTGCTTACGAGGTGGTTGTACGGCATCAAAATGTTGCCGGCGTCCTTCGGGTACGTGATGGGCATGCGTCCGCTCGGGTTCACGCGGCCGTAAATGATCTCGGCAATGGCCTGGCCACCGAGTTCGCACGGCAGCATGGCGTTGATCACAGCGTGCACGTTGTTTGGAAGCTCTCCCAGCAGACGCGGACGGCCACCGACCAGTACGACAATCACCTTCGTGCCGGTCGACGCCAGCTCCGACACGTACTCGATCTGACCGGCCGGCAGGGCCAAGTCATTAATGTCGCCGTACGTCTTCTCCGTGTACGAGTGTTCACCAATTACAGCGACGGTGTAGTCAGCCTGACTGGCATATTCCTTCGCCTGAGCCAAGTCGCTCTCGTTGTACACACCTGTGTAGTTTAGGCCGTTAAAGTACGTCAAAGTCTCGTTCGAAATGGCCTGGAATTCGTCCTTCACAGTAATACCGTTCGGGAACATGTCGTTACCCGAGTATCCTTGTTGACTGAGCGACCAACCACCGCACTGAAAGCCGACATTGTCGGCTGAGTGACCGGTCAGGAGCACCTTGGCCGTCTCCGGAATCGGTAGAACACTGTCGTTATTCTGCAACAACACGATGGACTCGCGAGCCGAGTTCAACGTGGCAGCCTTGTCCTCGTCATTGCCGACCTGGTCTACCAGATCGGCGCCGGGAACAGCGTTGTCATATAGACCGAGCTGCAGCTTAAGTTTGATCACGCGACGCGCAGACTCCTTGACACGGTTCAAGTATGACGGCTCGTTGGCGATAAGCGCCTTGGTGGCGTTGATGAAGCCGTAGTCGCTGCTGGCCAATGGACGTACGCTTGATAGATAGCGTGGCAGCCTCCTCGTTGGTACGAGCGAAGCGATGCCAAGTGTTGAGGTGCTCGATCTCAGCAAAGTCCGACACGGTCAGCCCTTCGAAGCCCAGATCTTCGCGTAACAATTTGTTCATGAGCTTGTGGTTGGCAATAGTGGGGATGCCGTTGACGGAGATGTAGTTCTCCATGGCCGACATGACACCGGCATCAACCGCAGCCTTGAATGGAGGCAGGAAGTAGTTGAGCAGATCGAGGTCGGACAGCGTAACGGGATCCTTGTCGTGACCCGTGGGGGTCTTGGAGTATCCGATCCAGTGCTTCATGCACGCAGCAGAACCATTGTTGGACTGAATACCCTTAATAAGGGCTTCCGAGATGGCCGACACCAATACCGGGTCCTCCCCAAAAGTTTCGTACACACGCGGCCACAGTGGATTCTGCGAGATTTCGAGCATAGGACCGAAGATCCACGGCGTACCGGCAGCAAGAGTGTCGCGACCAGAGATCCGTCCCATTTCATAAGCCAGGTCGGGGTTGAATGTGGCGGCACCGTTGATAGGCTGGCCGAAGAGGACGGCACCGGACGTGAAGCCGGCACCGTGAAGCGAGTCAATACCGAAGATGAAGGGGTGGCCGTCGTTCTCCTCCTTGACGATCTCTTGAGCGCGTGACAGCACATCACGCCATTCCTGGGCAGTCCAACCGTACTTGCCATTGTACGAGCCCGACTGCCACGGACCACTCAAATACGAGCCGATCTTGAGCTTAGCGTATGCACGAAACTTGTCCTCGTCGAAGGTCTTGTCCTTGTTGAAAAAGCGAGAGAACGCGACTTGCACCATTTGGCCAACAAGTTGGTCTTCGTCCATGCTCTCAATGATCACATCGGTCTGAGCGTCCCATTCGTCGGCGGAGACGAATGGCGTGCCGGTGAGGCTGACGGCGAGGCAGCACACAGCAGCAAACCACGACTTGAGCATTGTTGCGCTCCCTTTTCGTTGAGCTGGTGTTGCAGGTCGATAGGAAATTGGGGAATGACAATAGGAGTCGCAGCCTTTAGTTACCACCTTGTGCTTTCAAGGTCTTTCTCCAGCAACGCACCAGAAACTTCAACCACGCAAGCTAAACGCCCCGGCTAACTTCAGAGGCCACGGAAACGCAGCGCATCGCGAGCCGGATAGTCGCCATCGTAGCGTCAAGTTTCTTGGTGCAAACTTTTCAGTCGCGTCATTTTTAATCTCGTTAATTGAAGGCTCAATTAAAATGCGAAATATATATATTAGTAATTCGTGCACTGTATTAGCACTGCTATCCAAATATCATTTTATGGTGCTTGGTCGAAGTCTGGGGACCAAGCACCAGGCCACTGCTCGGAGCTATGGCCTGGTGCACTGCACTTACAGTCTGTAACTTGCAAGTTGCACGGGGCACTTTTGATCATTTTTCTGAACAAGTGGCGATTTTCCTGGAGGGAAAATCACCGATGGTTTGCAAGCAGCTGGTTGAACACCATTAGTACGGTTGGCTGGTTGAAGAGACTCAGCGCTCACGTATTGACTCAATACTATTGAGTATCCTCAGTGAGGATTCCTCACTGAGCCTCACGACGCGAGGACGGTCCCCATGTCAGACATGTTCCCCCAAGACATCATGGAACTGTGGTAGCTGGCAGTTGCAAGCTTCCTCGATAACGCGGCGTGGCAGTCACGCTCGTCGCAACGCGGTCAATCATCGCGGGTCGCGTGGAAAATAGATCAAGTGGAGTTCCGTTCTTGCCGTCAACTCATCAGCGGGCTAATGGTAACCAAACAGCATATGATATTTTTAATAGTAGTAGTAAAGCTAAATACCAACCGTAACTTAATTTTTCAAAAGCTAACATGATATTTTAAAATTAGCTCCGAAATCTGGAGCATACACTCCGCGCCACATTAGATCATGCACCCCTGTAGCTCACTCAAATTTTAGAGTTAGAGCGTGCTATTTAGATATGTTGTTCCTGTCATCACACAAAATAGGCTACACTTGCGTTTACACCAGGGCCCAATGCATACAATTGATTTTGGCACCGCGACACATTAATCATGCACACATAAGTATACTGAACACAAGTACTATGCTTCATAATGATTGTGTCAAGTTTACATGAACGTATCAACATGGGTGGGAGGTGGTGACCGCACCTCCGCCACTCTGGATCACTAATTAAACTTCGAAGCCAGCCAGACACCTCTCATTACTTTCTATTAGCACTTAGCTCCGTGCTGGCGGCTTTTTTACGAAGCAGACGATCATAGTTGAGGATTAATAGGGCCTACATCGAAGGTGTCGGTAAATTTGCATTATTGTATGGAATATGAGCGCAATAAGAACAGAGAGAGCCCGATAAATATATTTTATTGCCAGTTATTATTTATTGTTTATCTCAATAAGTTACTTACGAAAAATGCTTCAGCAAAATGTGTATTTACAAGGTTGGTGTACCACGACCCAGCATTTATTTTCCCCGACAACAACAACCAACAGTTTGTGGTTGGGTTTGAGCCCCTCGACTCCTCCGAAACGCATATTCTTGCTCATTCTGCAACTTCCCAGGAGCACCCCCAACGAAACCTACTCTCTTCTTTCACCATACCCAACTCTCTTATCGCCTCACCTTCTACTAAGTGCAAGTTTCACCGAAACAAGTGGCGTCCTTCTACTTCAAGCCCATGCTAGATGAGCAAGGAGACCCAACGGGTCTGCAGACCTGCAAGGCGTGCGGAAAGACGAGAAAGCATGTACCCAAAACTGGGTACACCAATTTGATGTCTCATGTGCGGGCTAACCACCCTCGTTTCGAGGTGGAGATGGAGGCAGCCAGTACCGCTGCCACCGAAACTCATATCCCGTGGGTTTGCCAGAAGGCGTCGGACCGGTACGCGTGGATCGACTGGATCGTCAAGGGCGACCTTCCGTTCGCATTTCTCGAAATGGAGACAACCAGAGGGTAACTCACATGACGATCTAGACGAAATATATTTTTTTTTTTTTTAGCTCTAATAGTTATGTTAGGTACACGAACTTGGCGAACGTGTGTGAGGAGACCATCACTTACGACATGGAGCTCGTCGCCAAGGCTGCGGAGAAAATCATCGGGGAAGAGCCGGAATGCTTCGGAGTTATTCTCGACGACTGCACGTTCGGGAGCGAGCACTACATGGCAGCGCACGGCTGCTACAAGCACAATGGTGTGTGCCGCTGTCCCCTTCTCTCCATGGCACCAGTGATCAATGGTCCGGACGACTCGCTTAACGCTGAGACCCATATGTCTGCGCTTGCAGCGTTTCTGCCATTTTTTTGGTAAGAGCCTCGCTAATGTGAAATTGTTAATCGCGATAGATGTGCAGTCGACAAGCGCCTTGCCAGACTTATGGAGATCCCGCTGGTTGGCTGTGCCAACCATTGGCTAAATTTGGCCGTTCGCAAATTCCTGGCTCCCTACGAGGAACTTGACGAGGTACAACTACTCATGAAATACCTGCGCACAATCAAACAAGCTGAAAAACTACGGTACGTATTTCGTTCTATTTTCTATATTTTTATTTAATGACAATAATCGAATACCTATCCTCTTTTGTGTATAGTCCACACAGACTGAAGACCTCTCTGAAGCCCAAGCTGCGCCAAGAAACACGATGGTGGTCTACAAAGTCGATGCTCGCGCGCTATTCTGAGCTGCGCGAGCTCCTCAGAGCTGACGACGAAGACACTGCTGACATATTGCCCACCCCAGCAGCACACCGTAAGCTGCGGGCGCTCAAGGACCAGCTATCGAACGTGGAGTCCGTATCTAAGAAGCTTCAGTGCGATGACCTCAACTTGCTGGATGCTCGCGACCTACTTGATGGTTTGCTAGAGATCCAGCTGTCCTTTGCCTGTTACCTGGGTCCGTCATTTGTTTACTTTTATTTGTTTATATACTTGTTTATTTTATTGATGTGGAACCAAACGCTGGTATTGTACACTCGCCTGACTTTGAAACGGGAGTGGTGAAAGTACTGTCAGGTCAGGTCAAGCTGCTGTCCCGTGGTGAGCGTGCGGCACTTTAGCCTCTGAAGAAGTCGTCTTGGCCTTCTGTCCCACCGGAGCCGTTCAAGATCGGCTTTACCGACAGGATTCTGAAGAGGCGCAAGACGCAAGGCACACCATGCGAGTACGAGCTGCTGCACGTCATCCCACCGACGTTCAACATTGTCGAGCGGCTGTTCAGCTCTGCTCGCATGGTGCTACGATATGAACGCAACAGGCTATCTCCGTTTACACTGAAGATGATACTTTTTCTAAGGGTCAACGATGCGTACTGGGATGTGACCACCGTGGATGCTTGTATTTTAGGCGGCTTCAACCAGGCTAGGTAGTCTATTTCACTAATAATCTACGTTTGCAATCCCCCCGCTCCAATTATTTATTTGCTGAGCTCGTAGGTTGCCGCGCGTTATATGGCCCTCGATGTCCTTTGAAATTGATATAAATTAATTTTTCGGGTACCCTGATTCCCAGGCCCGTGGGAGCCGCCATGGCTCGATATGGGCGACATGTTGGGTATTATATGCAAGCTAATTGGTACATAATCTAATTTTGATTCGCAGTGTCCGTTAGATTGTCACCATCAGCCACAATTGGCCCCGCTCGTCAGTCACCACCTCCCACCCCATATAATGTTGATACGTTCATGTAAACTAGATACAACCATTATGAAGCATAGTACTTGATTCAGTATACTTATGTGTGCATGATTAATATGTCGCGGTGCCAAAATAAGTTGTTTTGCATTGGGCCCTGGTGTAAACGCAAGTGTAGCCTATTTTGTGTGATAACAGGAACAACATATCTAATTAGCACGCTCAAACTAGAAAATTTGAGTGAACTACAGCCACCGACGTGGGTGCGTGATCTAATGTGGCGCGGAGTGTATAAGATACTACACCTTTGTGCGATCAACTTCGTAGTAATCTGCAATTAAACTCGAGAGTCGCAAAATTTTCTTTTCGTCAAATTTTTACAAATATTAATTTAGCAATTTCAATTCTGCATTCAAAGTCGGATATAACGCAATTAATGTCGTAAACATTACATTCCGTACACCATGTCATTACCGTCCGCAGCACGATTCACCAAGTCGCGACAATGCAGCTCCATGTTCGCCACCAACGCCGGCGTGATGAACTTCATGTTGCTCTCCGGAGCACGCTCCAGGATGCGCATTTGGCGCTCGGCAAGCGACAACACTTCTCCGCTGTGATCAGGCATTCGCGAGCGGTCACAAATCTCTTCGCGGTAAACCACGAGATAGTTTTTAATGTACGCCTTCAGCACACTGAGACATCCTTCAAAAGGATTGCGCATTGGGGAATAGGGTCCCAATCGCAACAGCTCCATGTCCGGGTGCTTCATGACGCGCTCCTCTGTCGAGCGGTGGGCAGGAGCGCTGTCCAGCACTATCACGATCTTCTTGTTCTGGAAGCAGATCTGGAACACGTCGGAGGCCTTAACGGCTTCGTAGATGTCCTCTACGAAGGCTGCGTCCTTGTCCATGCGTATGCTTCCGCGCTGAAGCTGGTAGGCTACCAACCCGATAGCTGACGACACCGCACATTTAATTTGCAGATTCGCTCCTCTTGAAGGAGGAAGTTTCACGACAGCTCGCTGTCCACGCTGTGCGCTTCTCGCTGTCGCTTCAGGTTCGTTATAAACAATACAGTTACCGTCACTTTGGTGCACCTTCAGTTTCTTTGCAAGCACGCGACGCTTCTCCTTATTCACGTCATTGTTGCATGTTGTCGGCTCGGTACGAACTTGCTTCACTGTGTAAAGCAAGTTCAGCAAATGTCGGCTGATTGTCGATGTGTGCACCTTCATATTGCAGTCAAGAAAGAGCATGGTACGCATTAGACTCAGCGTGTACGTGCAGTCGTCATCGAGATATCTCTCGAGGCAT